TCTCTCTCTCTCTCTCTCTCTGTAGCCCTGGCCACGCTGGTATATGCGTGATTACTTTCCGGTACGCGTTGTCTCCTCCACGTCCGGAATTCGAGTCTCGCATGCCGTCGCGATCCGATCTAAAGCCCCGTTCACACGACACCTGGACGCTGCATCCTGAACGGTTGCACATCCACGGTGAAATCGAGAAATTCTGCAGGCGATCGATGCGTTCGAATCGCCTGCAGGCGATACGGTCCATTGCGGTTTCGTCGCGAAGCTTCCCATTCTCGGGTTTTGATTTCGTAGACACCGGTGTAATTATTGATTGCCAGTTTTGGCGAGAAACATGTCCGTGGAATTGGGGCTTTCGAAAAGTTCGTCTATGTTACAGAGGTTCTCCTTTTTTAATCCGTAAGTGCTGTTAGACTGTGTTCATACTCTGTATTTCACGATACATTCGCCGCCGTTCGATTCAACCGTTTGGAAGATTTTATTATCAATGTACAAAGCAAGAGCAATTCAATTTGATCGTCGTTCGTATTCGCTTGTAACGTAAGTAATAGCTAGGCTGCAAATTTTTTTATGCATTTGTATTAAGATTACTGAATTCGACAAGGCACGTTCATTGTGCAGACTTATTTAGACTTTATTATTACGATTTATATTTATACACAAACAGTCACTACGTCTTACACACACGAATTATAGTATTCTGTAACAATACACACAAGACAAGCTATAAAACTTAATTATGACATACTTCAACAATAAACACAACAGTTTATTAAAAACACAATTACTATGTAATGCACGCAGCATATTATTTCAAAAACTGAACTGGAATGAAATTTTTCTATATACGGAGCGAACGATTCTCCATAAATCGGGATTTTTCGCTTTTCTCCTCGGTGTATAACGAAAATTGGAATAAAAAGATCGGAGGAACGATGATTCACACAAAATGGAGCTTGCATAAACCTCGAAGCGAAGAAGTGGCGGCTGGATGGTCCTTAAAGCTCAGGCAGCGCGGCTGAAAACCGCTTTGTTCGACATAGTAGATC